GGAGAAAGAGAGAGAGAGAGGCATCTCCAATAGAGTCTTCATGACTTGATCCACCTCCTGTCTCAGCCGGCCAGGATCACAGGCACACATGCCCACAACCATGCCCAGGAAGGGCCCAGGACACACACTCAGGACCGTTCTCCTACGGGTCCAGTTACACTACCACTGAGTTACCACCTGGTTCCAACACTGACCTCACTGAATGGCAGGATTTTAGGTGACTATTTTTCTCCTTTTAACCTTTCTATCCTTTCCAAATTCTTTCTAACACGTTTGTATTTTTATTAACACATTTTCTCTGATTATGAAATTCTCTCTTATCCGTTCCATCTCTTGTTTTAGCACAGCAACCAACTGGTTCTCCTCTCCTTAATCCATCTGGTATGCTTTTGCCAATCTGATCTTCAAGCACTGCTTTTTTCAGATCATTCCCTTGATCAAAAACCTTCAGAGCTCCCTGCTTTCCATGACATTATGCTCGGCAGCCTCTGCAGCCTAACCAGTGTGACCTGGCCCACTCCCAGCCCGCACAGTTCCTTACTCTTCTCCCATAATACTGCTTCCCTCTTATGCCTGTGATCTGCCTGTGTGTACAGGTCCCTTCCCTCCTGCTTGTCTCCTGGACTTAAAGTCAGCTCAGGCCCGCATCTGCTTCAGTGAAGCCTGTCTGGCCCAACGGTGACAGTGATAGTTGCCCCCATCTGCCCATAGCCAAACACATGCCAGGCCCCCGCCACATACTGACGTGTATTATCACATCACCGTCAAAGCAGCCCTCAGAGGAAGGTTCTATGATTAGCCAATGAGGCACAGGGAGGTCAAGCAGCCCAAGGCCGCACAGTCACAGTCTGAGCCTCCTCAGCCCAAAGGCCTGTTCCGGCCTCTACTCAAGCGCTTTCCTCTTCCTCCTCCAACACTTACAACCTGCACCCCACAGCGCAGCCAGCGATCACGAGATGTCATACCATCCACGCCCTGATGTCAGGGCTCAGGCCTTCTTTCCTCTGTATCTCCCACCCCAATCCCAACAAACAGTTGCTGGGTGACAACCAGGAGAATTTTATCAAGATTTGTTTCCATTGCCTAAAAGCAACTTTCATAAAATGCTTTTTTTCCTATGTGGAATGTGCTGGAATCAGATACATAAATCCATTTTTCACTTACTAAAATTTTAATTGTATGAGGGCAAAAAAATGCTATCTTCAGACAACAACAAAATCCTTATTGAATAATCACTCTCACTTAAAAACAGAATGTTTATATCCCACCCAAAATTCAGATGCTGAAATGCTATTAGGTATTAGGAGGTAGGGCTTTTGGGAGGTAACAAGGTCATGAGAGTGGAGCCCTTAGGAACGGTAGATTAGTGTCCTTATAAGGAGAGGCCAGAGAGCTATGTTCCCTTTCCACTATGTGAGGATAAAACAGGAAGGCCCTCACCAGACATAGAACCTACTGGCACCCCAATCTCGCACTTTCAGCCTCCAGAATGGTGAGAAGTAAATTTTCATTAAAAGTCACCCAATCTCAGGACCAGCTGTTAGCATAATGGCTATGTCGCTGGACTCCCATGTAGTCGACCGCGGTTCGCATCCCGGACCCGGTGGCTTAAACTCACGCAGGGCGCGTGTGCGTGTGTGCCCAAGATCCCGAGAGGAGAATGGAGAAGAAGAGACTGCAGTGTGGCCATCCCCCCTGGGGGGGGTGATTTCTTGCTTTCTGTCTTTCTTTCTCTCTCTGTCTGACGAGCACACGCACCCTATAGCAAAGACCTCTCCAAAAAAAAAAAAAATCACTCAATCTCTAGCACTCTGCTAGAAAACCAAATGGTCTACTTTTTTTTTTTTCATAAATTTCATTTTCTCTCATTTTTATTTTAGATTTTTTATTTCAATTGTAATTTGAAATTTACAGGTCATGATTTGAAATTTATAAGTAGGATATTTGCAAATGAAGGTGTTTCTCTTCTACCTCTTTCCTCTACCTGTCTTGTATACTACCAATTGCTGCAGCCAAACTTTATAATCTTCTATTTTGAAGGCTTGACCTAACACACACTCCCTGGGTAACTTGTACCAGACATTTAAAAAAAACTTTAGGCATCAAATTGTCACATGCACCTTTAACACCATCCTCCATAGCAACAGCATTCTTCAACATCTTGAAAATGATTTTTTTCTTTTCTTGTTTTTAGAGTTTTTGCCTTAGGACATGTACACTGGCTGGAGAGAGACAGTGACAAGGAAAATGAGAAATCACCTCCTGGAGGATGACCATGCCGCAATCCCTTCTCCACTCTTCTTCTAGGAATTTGGGCACACACGCACATGCATGCACACACACGCCTGGCATGACTTTCAAACCACCTGGTCCATACCCAAATTGCAGTCAGCCATATGGGAGCCCAGCAAAGTAACTGCTGCGCCATCTGCTTGCCCGAAAATTATTTTTTTAACATGATTCTGCAAGTCCCTTATTCAAGTGCCCCAAGAATCAGAGTTTATTATTATTCAGGTGACCTAATTTTTTAATCACTAATTCTAGTGCAATAATGACTTCCTAGAGCTTCACTCCCCAGGAAAGCTCTATTCCCAGCTACTGCTATCCTTGGAGATTACTGGTGCTTAGAATAAAAAGAAGAATGCCTTATGACATGTACATTTTGTTTTTAATCTGATTCTGCCTTACATTAAAAACAAGGAGAAAAAATAGGTGTTCTCATTTTCAACCTGTTAACTTTCCTTGTATATCTGTCATTCAGCAAAAAGCCAGGACAACCCTCCTCTACCTCTTCCCAGAAGCCAGGATAGCATGTGGTTGCTGAAACTGCGAGGATCACAGAGAATGGACAGCAAATTTCCAAACAATCTTCCCTTTATACTGGCCTAATTTAAAATCAATTTACTTACTTAATAGTAAAAAAAAAAAAAAAAAAATCACTCAAAATACAAGATGTCTCTGTTTTTCTCCTCATACTTTAGAATTTGAAAAAGTCAAAACATAAGCAGCATACACTTGTTGAAAAAGTTAGACAGGCAAAGGAAAATAGATTAAGATGGCTCAAAAATCACACCCTCCAATGATCTTTTGTCATATTCCTTCCCAATTTTCTCATACAGGCATTAAAAAATCATGATTGCAAGTACAGACAGAGCCAACTTAGGATGGGTCCCTTCAATTTAGAATTTCTCAGCTTTACGATGGTGTGAAAGTCATAAACACTCAGTAAAAACTGCATTTCAAACACTCAGACAACCATTCTGTTTTTCATTCTCAGTACAGAACTCAATAAATCACATGGCTTATTGAATACCATGTTATATAAAGGCTTTGTGTTAGGTGATCAGTCCAACAGGGAGCCAATGAACGTGTTCTGAGCATGTTTAAGGGAGGTTAGACTAGGCCACAATGTTGGGTAGTTGGGTGTATTAAATGCATTTTCTTTTTTATTATTTAATTTTATTCATTAATATTATTTTGTTTGCTATAGTGCACATGCATTCACCAGAGAGAAGCAGACAAAGAGGAAAAGAGAGGACGAAAGTGAGAAAGCAAGCCACTAGGTGCAGGATTTGAACCGTGGTCAGCCATGTGGAAGTCCAGCACCTTAACTGCCTCATCACCTGCCAGCCCCTTAAATACATTTTTGACACAGGATGTTTCTAACGTTCAAGGGATTTCAGAACGTAACCCCACCAGAGTTGCGGGCCCTCCCCACTCTATATGGGGCACTACACGAAACTCGGTAACGCATCCTCTTGCTGGGTTCTTACAACAGACTACAAAGTAGAAATTATTGTTATGGCTCCCGTTCTACAGATGAGGGCAGGCTCAGAGTGAGCAGGGACAAGTTACCAGGCCTTTACTTACCATGACATCGGTGTGGAGCTGAGATGTGACCGAGGCACTACAACTGCAGAGCCCACACACTAGACCACACTGCCACTTGTGACACACACAGCAATGTGCGAAACTGCCTTCTTCCCCCAACAATGCTCTGTGAACAGTATGTCACTGCGTAGAGACCTTCATATGTCTCTATCATTCAAAAAGCCCCGTGCCATTCCACTGAATGCACACACCAGTCCAAACAATCCCCCTCTGATGGCTGCCTCCACTTCTTGCACCACTGTGAACAAACCTGTGTGTGCGTGTGCTGTCTTTATATGCTTGTGCACTCATCTGACTATTTCTACAGGAGAAAGTCTCAAAAGTGCAATTGCTTAGTAAGCCACGTTCTTTTTTGTTCTTTAATATGCATGAGTACCATCTAGGAAAATGGTTGTTGCTGAATTTTGCTTTGCTGTTTGTTTGTTTTGTAGCAAGGCCCCCTTCCCCGTGGTTCTCCCACAGAACAATTTTTCAACAACCCAAGGGGAAGACAAGGAAAGCTCCATGGATCGCAGTTATTGTGACAATTTGGACTGCTTTCTACTGAAACTGCTTCTCTATCTCAGGGGGGAAAAAAGAACATTTCTGCTGTTTCTGATGTCACTTTAGTTTCTGACAGTACTAGAACTACACAAAAGAGAGAAAGGAAAAAAACCTTATGAAAGCAATTAAGTATCTGAGTTTCACTTTCCTTCTGTAAAATAGGGAAAATATTACTCTCTCTCTGCCAAGTTTATTGGATTATTTATAAGCACAAAAGAAGTGTATGAAGATAAACAGGCCTAACACTTGTTGGCCCTGGGTTTGTGTCCAGGCCTAACCACTCTCTAGCTGTGTGACCTTCCATGGGCATCTGACCTCTCTGAGCAGTCACGTGCCAAACCACTCCCCACGGTTGTTAAATGATACAATCTAGGAAAAACTCTTAGCACAGAACCTGCCACAATGGTGAGCCCACTCTAAAGGCCTGGTGGTGGTGATGGTGCTGCAGCTTGTACAAAAGGGACCTGTTAAGACTGGAGGGCCCACGAGGCAGGGCCAGCACAGTTCAGAGAGAGCCCCAGCCTCCCTCCCTGAGGCAAATTGGGCTGAAGCTATTTGACTATTACCTCCGGGGCATGGTAGGAAATGCACTGGAAGATCCAGTCCATGGCGGGCGAGTACAAGGGGAGGTAGGATGGCAGCTCCACTCCCTGGACCACCAGCTGGTTCTGGACCGTATCCCCATGGATCTACGGGAGACCAAATAAACGCTTAGCCAAAGAAGAGAAAACCAAACAACAAATGAAGAGTACAGAATGCACATACCGTAAGCATTTGGACCGCCCCAGGAGAAATAGCCTGGTTTCTCAGTTGCTTTTTTTTTTTTTTTTTTTTAATACCAAACACACACACGCGCACACACACACACACAGTTTCCCATGTCACCAAGCTGAGCTGTTTCGGGAATGTGCACTGTGGAAAGAAGTAACCTGGTAAAAATGGAGCAAGCAGATGCTAAAAAGAAAGGCCGATCAGCTAGAGACGCTTCCTGTTAACACACACATTTGTGCTCTCGACTGGTTCGGCACAATCAACACATTTTAATTGTCTGACAGAAGCTGGTGTAATTGGCTAGGGTTTGCACATTGTAAGAGCTTTCAGGCATTCTCAAGTTGGAGATCCAACTGGGTTTTGTGAATTCACTTTCACGTAACTGTTACATCAATTAGCTGTTCTGACAGTGCTCTCTTACCTGTTTAAATGTAAGGAGGAAGTCAAAAAAGTTCTTATTTAGGCTTTCCTTGAGATGTGGAGCCACTTCCATTCCCACCTGCAGGCAAAAAAAAAAAAAAAAAGAAAGACAAAACAAAAAATTACCTTGACTGTGCAAAAGCAGGGTGCAAGTAATACATACATTATAATGCCACTTTTGCAAATAAAAATATATATTTGTGGGGCCAGCAGGTGGTGAGGTGGTTAAAGGCGCTGGATTCCCACATGGCCCACCATGGTTTGAGTCCTGGACTTGGTGGCTTGTTTTCTCATTTTCCCTTTCTCTCTCTCTGTCTCTCTCTAGTCAAATTAAAAAATAATAACAACAAATGGAATTAAATAAGTAATTCTTATATATATATATATATATATACACACACACATATATAATTTGTACACATATGTAAATACAGAAGTAAAACCCACATAGTTCATTTTAATTCTTTTTGCTTCTCTCTCTCTCTCTTTCTTTCTTTTAGTTTGCTAAAGGGCATGTGAGCTCAATGGAAAGAGACAGAAGGAGAAAGGAAGCAAAATGAGAAATAACCTTCCAGGAAGGGTGGCCACACAATCCTTTCTCCTCCAATCTTCTCTTGAGATTTTGGGCATATACACACAGGCACCTGGTGTGTTTTTCAAGCCACCAGGTCCAACTTATGCAGTTGGTCATGTGGGATTCAGCTGCCTGTTTTGTTTTGTTTTTCCCTAGGTTATTACCTAAAAACCTAGGGTGCATGTGCTCTTCAGAGAGAGAGAAATCACCCGCGGGGGGATGGTCATGCCACAGTCCCTTCTCCATTCTCCTCTCAGGATTTTGGGTATGCACACACATGCACCTGGCCTGATTTTCAAGCTGCTGGGTCTGGGACTCAAACCACAGTTGGCTATGTGGGAATCCAGTGTCTTAACCACCTTGCCACATGCTGGCCCCAACATGTATCGCTTTTATAAGAAAACCACAGAAGTTATGTTTAATGAAAAAAGGGCAACATTTGCAGCAATCACCTTTGCAATTTCCCAGAGGTAATGGAAGTACTTCCGAACAGATGACCAAGAGAACAAATAAATAGAGACTAAGGAAGAATGTGCTCTCAAGACTATGTTTACAATATATTCCTTTCCTCTAAAAAAAAAAAAAAAAAGATAAAACACACATGTGATTGTACTTATTAAGTGAAGAAAAAAAGAGTATGATATGTCTGAGAGTCAGCTTGGATTTCAGATGTGCTGTTGCTTCTGCTACCTTACTAGAAGCTACATAAGCTCAGTGTTAGACAGTCATGAAGCAGACATATATTTTCAAATATTTTAAGCATTATTATATAAGACAACCATAAAGCATAATAATGCTATAATCCACTGCCACCTGAGTTCATTGTTTAAAAACTGTCATGTTGGCCCAGTAGTTAAGTGATCTGGATCCCACATGGCCAACCATGGTTTGAATCCTGGTCCTGGTGGTTTGAAAAACATGCCAGGTACGTGTGGATGTGTGCCCCAAATCCCAACAAGATGGAGAGATGGAGAAGGGGTTGCGGTGTGGCAGTGCCCCATTGGGAGGTATGTGTTCATTCTCTCTCTCTCGTGTCCACCCTCTGGCAATTAAAAAGTATTGTGATAGTTCTAGTTAAGAAATTTGCTGATCATAGAGAAGGCAGCCAGGGCACTGGAGTTGGAAAAAGAAAGGATATGCTATGGAGGGGAGGCCATGTGTTTAAAACACAAAACAGAACATCATACGGTTTCTTAAACCGATCTCCTCAGCAACCCCTCAATTTCAAATTGCTGCTTAATCACAGAAACCACTTTGAAGGGAAAGCAGCTTTTCTGGACTCAGCTCCTTCAAATGGGGACAGATCCTGCCATATGCCTTCCCCACCCAGAAATTGTGGGAGTTAACAGTAACGACACCTTCTTAGATAGCTGTGAACAAGTCCTTTAGGGAGAATAATACGAGAATGACCAGGCAATTAAATTCCAAGAGCAGCTCTATGGCTGGTGAGTACAGGAAGGGATATTCCAAGGACAAGAGCATAGATTTAAAAAAAAATACCAACAACAAATGTTAGATCTAGTTCTGCCATGTTCTGATTCTATTGTCTTTCCTTGCACTTAATCATACCACAGAGCAGGCAATAATTATCTGTTAGGTGACAGCAAAGGCCGGCCCAGTGGACAGGCAGCAGACATGAGCCGAAGGAGCCTGCCTTGGGAGAGTAGTTAATCATACTTTCCCTTAATAAACAGCTCTGAGTTGCCCCCCCCACGCCCTACCCACTCAGTGCTTTGTGTTTTGTTTATCTCTTCTCATCAAGTCAAATGAGCAGCTGAGAAATCTGCTTGGGCCTAGAAGAGTTCCACCCAGAGGAGCAAGGGCAGGTGCTCGTGCTTCCATCTGCTGCTTCTGCCTGCCTGGTATTTATTCCCTCTGCTTCTGCTATCAGCCGACGATCTGCCTTTGGGAACTCAAACCTTCCCCTCTTGACCATGAGGTCTGGCAGAGCCAGACTGTGTTCCAGGGGTGACACATGACCCAGGTCTGGTCAGTAAGCATAGCCCATCCCAAAGCCATAGTGACTTATCTAGAGGTGGGCCAGGGACCTAAGATGGTCCACTAAGAATCAGCCTGAGACTGGCAGGATCTAATGGGGAGATGGCACTGTTTCCAGTGCGGTTCCTAAGCCGGTGGGATGGAAGCATGGAGCTATCATGGGCCACCGTATGGGAAAAGCAGGCCACAGAATGATGCCAGCTTAGAGGAAAGTAGAGTTGAGTGATGGAAGGACAGAGAGGTGATTTTTCTTCTTCTTCTTGTTTCTTCTTCCTCCTCCTCCTTCCTTTCCCCTTCTTCCTCCTCCTTTTTTCCTCCTCCTTCCTCCTCTTCCTCTTCCTTTCTCCTTTTCCTCCTTTCTCTTCCTCCTCTTCCTCTTCTTTTTTAAAGACAGGATCTCCCCATGTTGTGACCCTCCTGCCTCAGCCTCCCAAGCTGCTGAGGTTATAGATCCAGCCACTGCACCTGGCCTTTTAGGTTGGACCAGGGATTGAACCTGGACCCCATGTGGTCCCAGCCCACAGAGCGCAGCATCTGAGTAGCCTGCACCACTGTGGCTAGGCTGAGAGGCTGACTCTGGACCATACTCTCTGAGGCCTGGATCTAGCCATGCCTGTACTGGCCCTGGACTCTCAACAGACAAGTCAATAAATCCTCTTTCTTGCTTAAAGTACTAAAAATTGGCTTTTCACTACTTGCAACTCAAAAATGTTTAACTAATACACAAGCTGTCTCTCTTATTGTTTTAAGAATTATTTTAATTTTATTCATCATCATTATTTATTTATTTTTAATTTGACCAGAGAGAGACAGAGAGAGAGAGGGGGCAAGTGACAAAGCAAGCTGCCAGGTCCAGGACTCAAACCATGGTTGGCCATGTGGAACTCAAGTGCCTTAACCACAATGGCACCTGCCGGCCTGGTTGTCTCTTACTCTGTATTGAAACACTTTTAGTAACTACCCAGCCAGGAAATTAATAAATTGCTTGGGCTAACAAAATGATTCCAGTAGATGCAGTGCATTTGTGACTAGGCTTTTGCGGATGGGTTAGCTTCATCCCCTGCATCTTCTCATTGTTACTGTGTTTTTAAGTTACATTTGGTATTCCAAGGCACTTAGTATGCAACAGACCTTGCCTTTTCCCTGGCTCACGTACTTTAAAACTGAACGGGTCTGCAAGAGATGTGCCCCCCCACCCTTCTGATTTCTTTGTACCAACCAGAATCATTTTCATAGGACGCTGTGCTTCTAAACCTACTGACTACCCACCAGACTGGGCCACGATTCTGCCTTTGTTGCTCTAAGATTCAACAAATGTCAAGATCAGTTTAAAGAACTTGCAATTTTCCACAAAGTGAGAAACAGCAGACTGTAAATCCGTGCACATCATCTTTACATCTCTCCCACGGGACCTGGCAGTACTTTGCACACAGTAGGATTTCAGCAAGCACTGACCTGGAAAGCTTAAGTGAGTTTCTAAATATACAAAAGTTGAAGTTCTTGGAAACATCTAATATCCTTACATGAAGAAATCCACCCCAAGACTGAGGCAGAGGTGAAATATACACAGAGGCCTCTGTTACAAAGGGGAAGCAGGGTGCCCTTGGACAGCACTTTTTTCTTTTAATTGCCAGAGAGTGTGTGTGCTCATCAAAGAGAGACAGAGAGAGAGAGAGAGAGAGAGAGAGAAACAAAGAGAGAACACCTACCGCAATCCCGTCTCCATTTCTCCACCCTGTCAGGATTCGAGGTGCACATGCATATGACATATTTTTCAAGCCACTGGGGCCAGGATTTGAACTGTAGTTAGCCATGTGGGATCTAGCGCCCTTAACCTTTAGGCTGTGGGGTCGGCCTGGAAGACCCTTCCTCTCAGTCTCAGGATCACAAAGCAGTCCTATAAAACTATCCTCGTAACAGATATCTATTATTCACTCTGAGGGCAGTGACTGAGAGTTTTATGACATTTGCGATGACATAGTTTCTGCCATTTGTTAGATGGCGGAGAAGAAGCAAAGCAAAGGCTCTGAGTTCTCACCTTCTGACTTAATAAAACGTATAATCAGGACTAGCAGATGCTATAATGGTTATGTTGCTGGACTCCTACATAGTCAACCATGTTTCTAGTTCTTGGTCCAGTGGCTTAAAACTCTCTCCGGGCACATGTGTGTGCCCAAGATCCCGAGAGAAGAATGGAGGAGAAGGGAATGTGGTGTGGCCATCCCCCCCCGGGGGCGGGGGGTGATTTTTCACTCTCTGTCTCTCCAGTGAGTACATGTGCCCTATAGCAAAAAAACAAAACAAAACAAACAAAAAACAAAAACAAACAAACAAAAACTCTCTCAAAAAAATTTAAAAATAAGATAAAGTCCATAATCACTTTTGGGGGAGGATCTAACTCTAACTGTAGCTTAGCCTCTAAGGACCTCTGGGGTTCATCAGGGGTAACAACTCCTCTCTAAAGGCATACCAGCTAATCAGATGAGCGGGGCAACCCCCAATGCTAGGCAAGTCCTGACAGAGGAAAAGCCCCGGGGCATTTTGAAGAAAAATGACCGTACATTCTCCATTTTGAAAGAGAAATCAGCAAGGGGGAGGGGCACAATCCTTACAAACTTTTTACATTTTTCATACACGAAAAGAAAGCAGAACGTTCATGATGCTTTAAAGAAGAGAAAGGCCATGTGGTTTAGAGTCAGCCCAGCTCATGCATGACAAGAGGCAACCTTAAGTTGGGCTGTGGGCCTGCAAAGTCAGGCTATGCAGATCCTGAGACCTGCCGGAGTGAACCGTACTCCCCACCAAGGCCCTCACCACCTTAACCCTCTCTGCCAGCTCTTTAATAGGAGGACAAAAAAATCAAAACAAAACACCAGGCCCAGCCATACTAGCACAATGCCCTGCTATGCTGAAAGCCATGTGACAGATCAAGGTTCAACGCCAGGGTCAACCTGTACACTCCAGGGATGTGCACCTGTGTTCCTGACTGGCGGAAAGGCTTAGACGTAGAGAGGACGCTTTTTCTCTTTCATGAAGGAAATTTTTTTAAAGAAAGAAAAACTCAAATTAATGACAAAGGGAAAAAGCATGTCTCAAGTCACTGAAAAGTAGCCTATCATCTGAAAGGCCTTCAAGCCGCCTCCCCAGCAAGAACTAAGAAACGATTAATTCTGAAAACCAGTTCATTTGTAAGTAGATGACCTTGAGCGCCCACTAATTAAGAGTTACAGAAAGTTGGTCTACTTTAAAATTAATTTTTAAAAGAAATCCTACAGCTCTACTTTCTGTGGAAGAGCCATGTTCTAAAATTAGCAGTTAATCAAGTCCTTTCAGTGACTTGTGAGGCAGCGGGATGGAGAAGCCCTGAGTGAAGGTTTAAGGAGACGGGAAGCAGTCACAGCTGCGAGCGTGGGAATCGACGTTGCCTACCCGGCACAGGTAGGCCCGGGCGTACACCGACACCAGTGGGTCTCCGATGCCTCTGATCATGCACGTCAGCCGGGGCAGGCACTCTGAAATTCCCCTGTAGGAGACAAAAAGATCCAGAATTACACCTGGTATCAGAACTCGCTTTTCTTTTATTTTTAAAATAAAGATTAAACTAAACTTCCTAAGTTTGGAGGGGAAAAACAATTCCATTTCAAGAACAAACCAAGGTCAAAATTCAGTCTTCCAGGGCACTGTAGCAAACATCTCTTGATAACAACAATTCATTCATTGAATGAGTTCTTCGATCTGTACCAACTGCTCAGTGGTGGTGGCTACTCTTCATTTTGCCTGCTCCAGGTCACACTTGTTTTACTAATTTTAACAGTTTCTGTTTGATTATTTTTCATTGACTGCAAACATTTTTTGTCCCAAAATAAACTCACTTGTCTGTGAGTTTTTTGAAGTCCCCTTGTATTCCTTTGGTACTCATTTACTGTCCTGTGTCCCATCTCTTCCTAGCATTTCAAGCTGACATCAGAAACCCACCCCACCCAGTAAATATGAGTTATGATTTCAGCACAGGACTTCCCTCTGCCTAAGGCATTACCCTCCCCCAGCTGGTGAGGCAAAATAACTGTTTCTTTAGTATTCATGTTATCCCCCAAGCTATCCTACATGTCCCTAGCTCTAAATCAAGCACATCTAAGATAAATTCTAAATCCAAACAAAATAGTTATTTGTGGAATACCATCAGTCAGTCCCTGGCTTCAAGGAGCATGTTATCTATTGGGTCATCAGAAAAGTCATGACACATTTTTGCACTGAAAAATACAACATGATTTTTCCAACAACCCAATAGTTACCTAACATGACTCAGCATTTCACCAGCTCTGCAGAAAGCAGATCTGGTTCCCCATGCTACTACTCCCAAAACAATGTCTGTGATGACCCAGAGTGGCACGGGGGCTTAGGAGCACAGGCTCTTGGTTCTGACACCATCTTGACCACCGTCATCTTCAGGAGTCATTGAATGAGTTCTTCGATCTGTACCAACTGCTCAGTGGTGGTGGCTACTCTTCATTTTGCCTGCTCCAGGTCACACTTGTTTTACTAATTTTAACAGTTTCTGTTTGATTATTTTTCATTGACTGCAAACATTTTTTGTCCCAAAATAAACTCACTTGTCTGTGAGTTTTTTGAAGTCCCCTTGTATTCCTTTGGTACTCATTTACTGTCCTGTGTCCCATCTCTTCCTAGCATTTCAAGCTGACATCAGAAACCCACCCCACCCAGTAAATATGAGTTATGATTTCAGCACAGGACTTCCCTCTGCCTAAGGCATTACCCTCCCCCAGCTGGTGAGGCAAAATAACTGTTTCTTTAGTATTCATGTTATCCCCCAAGCTATCCTACATGTCCCTAGCTCTAAATCAAGCACATCTAAGATAAATTCTAAATCCAAACAAAATAGTTATTTGTGGAATACCATCAGTCAGTCCCTGGCTTCAAGGAGCATGTTATCTATTGGGTCATCAGAAAAGTCATGACACATTTTTGCACTGAAAAATACAACATGATTTTTCCAACAACCCAATAGTTACCTAACATGACTCAGCATTTCACCAGCTCTGCAGAAAGCAGATCTGGTTCCCCATGCTACTACTCCCAAAACAATGTCTGTGATGACCCAGAGTGGCACGGGGGCTTAGGAGCACAGGCTCTTGGTTCTGACACCATCTTGACCACCGTCATCTTCAGGAGCAGCAGCTGATACTGAGCATGGGGTCTACTCATGTCAGGTACTACTCTTAGTGCTGCGTGTGCAGCTCAAAGGACCCAGAGAGCCCTTCTGAGGGCCATGTGCACAGGAGAGGAGACAGGCACAGAGACCCTCAACCAGTTGCTCAAGGATACACAGTTAGTAATGGCACAGCCTAGGCTTAAATCCAGCAGATCTGCTTTCTTGTAGGCTACCCAAGCACCTTTCCTATCTTGGGTTTTCCTTTCCATAATATGTGGACTAAAAAGGTGTCTGTACTCCATTAAGTTTTCATTTGAATTAAGTGAGAAAATGCACAGAAGGTGCCTACCACCAGATCTGGCCTCCCACACACTACACAATGAATGAGAGCTACTACTATATTCCCTCGAGAGTGTGCGTGAGATTTTCGGAAATGCTATGGCTCTCGACATTAAAGAAGAGTCTTACGTTTTGGAGAGGAACTTGTTACACTTCAGGATAGATGCCTCCACGTAACTACAAACACATTCTATTAAGGAAGACATTTTCCAGACAGCCTGTTCCCCAGGGGCAAAAGGCTGAACTCTTCATGAACAGACCTAGGCAGGTCGTAGGAGAGGGGAGCCACAGTGGCCCCCTGAATAAACCAGAGAACCAAGCTACCCAGTGGCTTATGGTTTCTCTACACAGTCTGCAAGGTTTCGTAATTATTTTAATAAACTTTGGAAAATGTTCCACGTTGGTTCCCGGTTGCGTGCTGAATTGCACACTAGGTTTTGAGCGTTTCCAATCAAGCTTCATGGGGAAAGAATGAACTTTAGATAAGTAAGACACACTTTGTGCATAAGTCAAATTTCCTATTCTGCAATATTGGCATTCCTACAAAACAGCCTGACCCTGTTCTTTCAAGTTCTTGGAACCAGAGAAAATACCTAAAGATGAAGCATTCTAACACAGAGGATTAATGTGGGAATGTTCCTTACGGAAACAAAAGCCTGGTCATGGCATCATATTCAAAGCAGAAAGCTGGAGAGAGCAATCGTCCCGAGGCTTATACAAATGTGGCCTGCCCTGTATTTTCAGGTTAGCAACCATAACAGGCCCAAATTTTCGACAAGAATTTCAGGGCATCCCGTCACATGGATTCTATTAGCAGTGCAACTCTTTTAGTCTATCTTCAAAATCATCAGACAAAAAAAAAAGGATACAATCTCGGAATGAGTTCCCTGATGGAAGCAATCTTGAAAAACCAATTTAGGCATGTTTCCTTGGCCGTGTCATTTACATTCTCTGGAGAAAAGTGATCTGTAATACAAAAACAATACCCATCAGCCCTCCTAAATCTCTGGATCTTTTACAGCCGCTGAGTCCTAGGATAGGAAAATGGCACCACGGAGCAGAGAAGGAGTGGGAACTCGGCCCTGCTGTGTCCTTCCTTCCAAATGTCATCGTCAGTATTAGGAAACAATGACGACAGTGTACACACACACACACACACACACACACACACACACGGGCTTTGTCAGTGCCAGGTACTGTGCAAAGTGCTTCTATAGAAGTTAGCTCACCGAATCCCACTACAGCCCTCCGAGGTACATATTTTTATGATCCTCCTTTATAGATGTGGACACTGAGACACAGAAACGTTTGGTAACTTGCCCAGTGAGCACAGCCAGCAAATGGAAGAGCTGGAATTCAATCCAGGCAGCCTGGCTCCGCAGCCCCCGTTTGTACCCACTGTCTCTAACACAGTCCAGAGGTGCGTGATGGGCTACCAGCAACTATGATGATATTGTTCAGAATTCCAGATGTTTAGGAACCTGCAACCCTACCACGAAACACGATCTAAACTTTGGCCCTGAAGGAAAACCTGCTGTGGCAGAACTGCCAGGACACCCTGTCCTCTTCCCTGGGCCGGCCCCGTGGTGCAGTAGTTGAGTGCAGTACACAGTTAAGTGCAGCACACGTGGCTGACCGCAGTTTAAGTCCTGACCCCAGGGACTTGAAAATCATGGCAGGTGTGTGTGCTTTCACGCCCAAAATCCTGATGGGATAGAAAGTAGAGGAGAAAGAACTGGCGTGGCCACACCACACTGGGGGGTACTTTCACGTGTGCACAGTCACAGTCTCTCTCTCTCTCTCCCCCTCTGGTGAGAGCAAACACCCTCTCACAATTTAAAGTAATAATAATGATAACAGAACTCTCATTTTTCTGCTGGGCATAAAGCCATCCCTGCAGCTAAGAGTGGTCATGTGACCAAGTTCTGGTCCCTGGATATATACAGAAGTACAACTTTATTTTTTGGAGAGGTTTTTTTGCTATAGGGCACGCACTCTTGCCAGGACAGAGAGAGACAGAGAGATAGAAAGTGAGAAATCACCCCCCGAGAGGGGATGGCCACGCCACAATCCCTTCTCCTCCATTCTCCTCTTCAGATCTTGGGCATGCATGCACATGTGCCTGGCACAAGTTTAAGCCACCGAGTTCGGGACTTGAACCATGGTTGACTACACGAGAGACCAGTGACACAGCCATTATGCTAACTGCTCATCCCCAGAAGTACAACTTCTAAGAAATATCTTTAAGGGAAGGGGCATGCCTTCTCACTCCTTTCACCTGCTGATTGGAATACAGATGTGATAGCTGAACTTATGCAGTCATGTTGTACCGTGAGAGCAACAAGACATAAGACAGGACCCCTGGCATCATGGGCTAGTGGCTCCACTAGTTCCATCCTCCATCATTGTTACCTTGTGGCACCCAAGCCTGATCTCAACATACACTTTTTTCTTTTCTGAAACAATAGAAATTTATTTCTCAAGTTCTGTACTTAACATACATAACAAGGAATTGCAAGAGACTGGGGTGGGGGAGGGACAGAACCTATCAACATCACAAAAACCATTACTGAACTCTCACATGGAAATGATTTCTTCCAAATGATTCTGGCAAAGATTGGAACCTAATCCTGTTTCTACTTTTAGAATTAAGTCACAAAGAAAGAAGTTGGCCAGCCCCAGTGGCACAGAGGTAGCACAGTATCCCCCAATGCTGGGGCCATGCAGCAAGGGCCTTGGTTCACGGCCTGAGGCCTCCCTGTCCACACCGGGCACACGTGTTCATGATAGAGGCTGCCCGGGGATGGACTGCAGTACGACAACCTTTTTGGGACGACTGTCTCTCCCTCTCATGGAATGAATAAACAAACATTTTTTTAAGTGGAAAGTTAATTACTTTGGAATACAGTAAATCATCCTTAGCTTGCTGGTCCTCACCCTGTCTGCAGTGAGTCATTCTTCATTCCTCATTCCGCCACTTGGTGGTATATGACTTGGGTGATCAAGATTCCCATGGAATCAGCAAAACAGATAAACCTGCAGGTACTGCTCCTGCAGCGGAGAAGTCACTAATCACAGCTGCAGATATTTCGAAACCGCAGTCTCAAGTGTTTCCCTATATTAACTGTCTGGCACGCTTCATTCACTTGCGAACTATTCACTGACCGTTTTCAAAAGAACGGGAAAGGACTGGCTTCCTATTTCTTGCCTGAACCTATATGCATAAAGTAACTTGTCTTTGAGTTTCAAGAAATCCATTTTTAAAAACATAGGATTTTTTTTTAAAGTTTGTATTTATTTTTTCTGTGAGACAGAGACAGAGAGAGACCCCAACAGGGTCTGGACTCCAAAATCCACTCTAGTCTGCAGCCGGCCCTAGATTGTGGGCTGGATCACGTGTACCCAGCACATGCAGGGAGGTCTACAGACTAGATCAGTAAATTTTCCCAAATGCCCTCGTAGAGTGTAGCATTTTACCTCTATGCCAATGTCTGGCCCCAACAAGGGTTGTTTTAAAATCCATTTGTCAATCTTGTCTTTTGGGAAAGAGAGGGGCAGGGTTAATTTCCCTTCGTGCAACTGAATCATACAACTTGAAATCCAAAAGCAAAAATAGGCTTCTGAGGTCGTCTATGAAGTCCTTCACTCTGCAGTGCAGGCAACTGAGGCACAACCAGGGTGGGACAGAGTGATTCAGGCTAACAGAGCTGGAGACCACGTGCAAGGCAGGTTTCCTGCACACACCATCACCACAATAGCTAGACAGTCTGCACACACCATCACCGCAGCTAGACGACAGTGCACACACACCATCGCCACAGCTAGACGACAGTCCACACACCATCGCCGCAGCTAGACGACAGTGCACACACCATCACCACAGCTAGACGACAGTCCACACACACCATCGCCGCAGCTAGACGACAGT